ATTTGGTATGTTACATAACAATTTAACAAACACAGTCAATCATTTCTTTTAATTAGTAAAGGTGCCCCGAAATTTTAAAATTCCCTGGTTGATAAACGATCTGCGAATTAATAGTGTTACATTTTCATTTTTTACGCGTTATAATTTTTAAAAAAAAAACACGAATTAAAATATGAAGAGAAGAAACTTAGGTGTATGTAAGTATTATATGATAATTATATTCACTGATTTGAAATTTTGATTAGACAGGTGTTTAATTCTTATTTAATGAATGTTCTATAAGCTCATGACACTTCAAAATTGATAAAGAAAAGATTTAAAACAAAAGGTTTGTATATTAAAATATATATTGCATATTCCTGATATTTAATTTTGAATAAAGATATATAATCACCATTTATAAACTTAGAGCTTCATGTTATTGATTCTAGTATGTTGGAAATTTATTTTGAAACAATTAATTTGTTAATTATTAAAAAATCAATTCATAAATACAACTAAATATTATATATTATTAGATGCTGATGCTAATGATAGTTTAATGGAAACGAGTAGTAAAATAACAACAATGAAAATAATCAGCATACTCTAGGTTGATTATTCTTTAATCATTTAAAATTTATATTATATTTTCTTTATTTGGTTTTGTATAAACTTGTTAATAATATATCTATATATATTTTTTTATAGATAATCCAAACTTGTCAAAAAATAAAAATATAACCATGCTGAAAATCATGGATAGTATTAATATTCTATTAGATCAAAACATAAAACTTTCAAAAAAACAAGATCAAACTAATGAATTACTTTTCTCAATAAATAAAAAACTTGAATTAATGACTGAAAAGGATGCCAATATAAAATTTAAGGTATAAAAAATAATGGTTGTAGTAGTTTTTTATTTTTATCAACAGTATACTTTTCAAGAATATCATTTCAATTCAAATATAATATAATATATGAGTGTGTTAGGGTGTTTTGGTACAAAATTCCAATTGGCTTATTTGATTTCCACACATGTCAAATCCAATTTTAAATTGACATACAACAATAATTATTAATACAAATTTTTCTGTTTGTACAATCCAATTAGGGAGACATTAATAATATAAAAAAAATTTTACTTGAAGAATATGTCTATCCTGATCAAAATGAAATTATAGATGTATCATTTAATTATTTCATTAGAAATAAGAAAGATTGGTTTCAAAAAAGATTTGGATCCAAAAACAACAAATTTTTGTCTTGGTTAGAAACCAATGTTTCTAAAGAAGTATGTTGAGTTTCATGTTAATTTCCAAAAAAATTAAAATATTTACATTAATAAATCTATATTATTGAATGAACTACAGATTTACAATCAATTAAGAAAGATGTGTGGAACTACTACAGCTAATATAAAAAAAAATATGTTCATTATTTTAGATCTACCAGAAATTAATATGAACTCTTTACCAACTGAAATAATTAAATGGAAAAATAGTCCATCTACAAAAGGTGCTTATCGTACTTTATTTCTTGAAAAAGATGGTCAACCAAGTCAAATGGACCAGATTATTAAAAAAACATGGAGTAAAAATTTGGAAGTAACTGATGTACTTGCAGCTTATGCAATCACTGTTGTTGAAAATCTTTTGAATCCAAAGATTCTATCTGTTGAAATTTCACAATCATGAGTAAAGTCAAGATTGTTAAAAAATTTGGTAATTTTTATAATATATTATCACATCATAATATTCACTTGTACATACAAAAGAATTATTATTGATCAAAATCAAACATATATTTATTATTATATTTTAAGATGAAAGTTAGGAATGATGAAAATTTTACATTACATAGTGATGGTGGTGAGGATGATTCAGAAGATGATATTGATACTAATGACAACAACAGAAACAATATTATTAGTGATGATGATTGTTCTAAAGATGACATTGATACTAAGGTTTCTGGTCCAAACTGTTTTCTCAAAGCCCAAACTAGTTTGGGCAATTTGGGCTTCTCAACATTTTCTA